ACGGCATTAGGGTACGCCGCGTGCTGATGGACGTGCACGCGACTTTGAAAGTTTTTCGCGGGGAGGGGTTCGCCGCGCGGGTACGGAAGGCGCATTACATTATTTATCTTATTTATCGGAGTTTGCGCCATTTTCTGATCTGATTCGGCGATAGCGGTCACGTACGGCCGCCTGGCGTCGGAGACAGCACACAAGGTGGCGTGTCAGAAAATTATTATATGCCTTACTTTGCCGTCTGTCTGTGCCGAGTGAATATTTTATTAATTCCATAAAGCGTCCACCTCGGCTTGTACTCGTGCGCCGGGGGCCTCCATCACGCCGGCGAACGCACGTCAAAAATGCCAAATGCCCTTTATTCGAAGCAGCGCGCTGCTTCCGCGAGCTATAATTGCCCTAAAGCGAGGCTTTCGCGTTGCTAAAAGCGAACAATAGCTAACACTCGTCAGTAAATCAATCGTGTATATAGCAAGCGTTGTTTGAATATATCGCGATGTGTTTTAATAAATTTCATTTGCCTGCGCCATTCGCGAGGCGGGGGGGAAAGATCAGTCGCGCTGACGTGCACGGGGGAGAAATATTTGGGAGGGAAGCACCGTTCGTTACATTAATCTTAGACCGAGGAATAATTTTACTACGGGTGAGATCCGAAGCGCGATCGCACACTAATTGGAGGCAAGACGATGAAGGAATTGAAAGTTTGATGACGCGGAATAAGGTACGCCCGGTGTCCTTAGTTCCTAGGGCCTAAGCCGCAAACTATGAATTTATGCAAATCGAGATAAGACCGGCACGTCTCCATGACCTCGGCCGAACCCCCCTCGTGGCCGTCGGGGTTACGTAGTGGCTTACAGTTCGGACTTCATGCCCTCCGTACGAGTCGGACTAGCCAAACGGTCTGAACTATCCGCGGACTTAACCGACTGTTAAGTTCGACTTGAGTTACTCGCAAGACCGACCCCGTGTAATCCAAAGGATCTCGGCGAAATGCCCCGGGTACGATTGTGTAAGCGCCACGCTCTCAAGTTGCAAAGGAGTCCCGACCCTCTCGGCAGTATCGCGGTTTCATCGGGATAGCAACCGACAAATAATAAGCGGCAGTCGAGAAGTTGTTGGGCTGTCGTACAAGTTGAACGATGATCGTGATTCCCGAACAATTCGCGCAATCGAACCGCGACGCACGGACAGGCACGTATCAATATTTCGATGAACTGGGTCAACGCGGAACAATATATTTTTCGGATCATTGACATTCAGTCGATACAATTTCAAAATACAATACAACTATATAACAAGGGAGCTTGCTATATTCCTTTTTCTTTGCTCGGCTGTTTCGTACAATCCAGGTCAATCGATTTTGTTGTAATCACTATAAATGGATAATATCTTTCTGCGATAGAAAAAAGACCAGGTGGCGGAGCAGAATGTCATTAAAAATTTTTTTCTTGCTGTTAATACCGAGATCGTGTGTGAAATTTTATTGATCCGGAGAAACTTTATTACAAAGGGCCGACTCGGTGGATCCTGCGCGCGCGATAACGCTCGTCTTGATTTCAAGCTCGCTTTTTCCCGACGCGGGCAGTGCCGATAGTATCTTTATGAATATTTCAATGCGCGCTTAATCGCCCCGATTCGTCGAAGTAAAAAAAAATATATATACATATATACACACGTACACTTAAGTGGATCCCAAGGAAATAACGAGTACTAGAAATCAATTCCGCGGCAAGATAGCCGAGGGTGGATTCCGTTTGGTGCATGTGGGTGGGCTGTCACGTGTACATGTCCGCGCGATGTACGTTCGAGGCGAGACCCAGGCTGAGCCGACGATAAGATCGGTCGCGTGAGCTAGCCTAGGGGTAGTTTGCCCCAAATGGCTAGTCCCATTTCCCTCGTCTCTAAGTAGCCGGGCTGTTTGTATCGCCGTACGTACGTGTCGGTGCGCCGTCGCCTCGGCGTATTCGCATTCTCCTCAACACCGACCTGTCCTCGTCACCGTCACACTTTATCCCCTCCCGCCCTCCCGCCGTCCTACTCGTCGGATCAGCCCGATAACGGAAAATCACTAGCGCGTCCCCGATGCCACGGCCGTGCCTGACAAAGCGTACGTTTTAAACGCTCTTTTTTGCCCGCGCGTCGGACGGAATGACAAGATGAACGGTAATTTTCGACTACGGCGATGTCATCGAAGCTGCGGAATATCTCCCATCGTCGGCTCCAAATCCTTGCGGACCCGGGGCGCTCATGTCGGACAAGACGAGCGAGCGTCCTCGAGCGTCCTCGAAGCGCCATCAGAAAAGTCGCGCGCCGGCGGAGTAGTAATCTGGCGACAGTTTCATTAACGCTCTTCCGGCGGATCCGTCGAGGATTTGGGGCGGAGTGCACGCCCGGTACGCTGCACAGCCTATCTCCTACCCCGTTCCTTTCGCAAATCGGCTCCGGAGTGCCTCCCTTTTCCCGTGCCCGGGAGTGCTTTTGGGCCATGCGAATCCGGCGGACAAGTACCTACCCTGAAATCCTGACGTCCTGACGTGGCACTGCACCGCGGTAGCGAGAGATCGCGTTGCAGAGCCGGGGCTGCAGAGCTAAGCTCAGCACATTGCTGTGTACCTTCCGGCTTACGGCCGATAATGTTTTCATATTGTGGCGACCGCGTATGTTCGCGGCATGCCGCCGGCATTACCTCGCTTCTTGCGAGCTCGCGGCTGATCTTGCTCGAGAATGGGACAGGTCGGACAATCCTTCATCTCCCTCTCTCTGTTTCTCTCTTTCTTTCTCTCGCTGCGCGGCGCTTGTATCTTCGATCTTCATTCTCCCTCGTGCCGTTATTATACTTCGCTCGCTATAATCTTCCAGCATCCGACGCGTTCCGCCGCGGTAAACGTGCTTAAAAGTAGGCTGGAGGACCCGCTGCGTGGCATACCTCACCGCATGAGAACTTAAAAGGAACCACGAGAAGAGACACTCGACTCTCGAGTCGAGGACTCGACCCCGGCTTGCCGTTTGTCTCCGGTGCTCTCCTCGCACATCTTTCTTCGCCTTCCTTCACTCTCTCTCTCTCTCTTTTTCCTTTCTGGAGCACGGCTTTCGACGCCGGGATTTTGCGCGGCACCCGCCGACCCGTCCTTGCGGCGCGGCCTTGACATTACTTCGAATGGTGCTCATCTCGTGCGCTTTCTCTTTTCGAGCGCCAAGTACATCGCGTAACCGGATTCGGTGCGTAAGAGGATTCCGCCAATCCAGACGGCTGTACACAACTCATTCGAGTCTCGAAAAATAAATAAATTTACGTGGTTCCTCGACGAGTGCTCCGAATCAATCGATTACGAGATTATCCTAAAATATTTCTTTGACTAATGAAAGTACGTATCGGTCGTCGCGGGTGGGAAAATATTTGCGAGTTTGTATACGTGCAAGACACATTGTAAGACAAAAAATTCTCGCATGAAATATGATCGTACGCCATATGGCAATTAAGCTGGGGACGATAAGGGACAGCGGGCAAATATTTGCAAGGTGACGTCTTTACTAGCAACCGATTATACGTGTATAGAACTCTTTTGCCTTATCGATGTCGCAGCAGGCGCAGATTTACGAAAATTAAAATGTGAAACGCGAGCAAGTTATTTGCCTGTCATAAGCTTCGGTAAATTTATGAATGCAATTGCACTGGTCGTAAAATATCGCGATAATAAACAAATGAGAGTCGCGAAAATCGGAGATAACAAAATCGAAAGGTATAAATTTAATCAGAAGCGGCAGACTCGCGCGAGCAACAAGATTACGAAGAAATTTCAAGCCACGCGTACATTTCTTTGCGCGGAAACGATTGTCCGCTATGTTTCCTTCTTATCGATGAAAGATATGTGTGTACGTCTGTCTTTAATTTGTCAAGAAGGTTAGATTTCTGTTAAAGCACCGCGATGGTCAAAGAGCATGTGCGGTCCGGCGCAAAAGAGTTGGGGCGCTTAACTTTAAGCCGGCGCTAATGAGATTGGAACACGGCGGAAATTTTGTATAACGAACCGAAGAAGCTTTTGGTCTTTGAATCAAAGTCCACCTACTTTTCAAATTTACAAAGGCCTCGGCCCCGCGTCGATGAAATATACTCACTGCACAATATCACAGAGAGAAACTTTTCGAAACGTCGCCAACTCTTATTAGCGCCGATCAAGTTAAGTACTCGGTAAATTGCCCCGTGCAATATTCAGTCGTCTGAGGCGTCATTTTGCAAGGCGCATTATTTTCAATAATCGCGCAGATATACGAGATATCGGGGCGTATACGGTGATTTAGTGGCCCGATACGGCAACCATGACAATACCTTTATGTGTCATTAACTTATCCATCGTAATCTGGAGACGTGGAAAGAAATCGTTTACGAGCGATTCCGAATCGGCCATATGGCGGGTTCTGGTACGGGCTTATCGAAAGATAAGTCGATGCTATTAAACCACCCCAACGGACCCCCGCGCACCTGTCCTTCGCACGCCACGTAACATGTCGAGTCCGGTGGGATTTTTACTCCGTTCTGCGGATACACCGGCGGAGTCTTTTTATCGAACAAAGGCTCGCCTTTTAACGAGTGTACGGTAAACCGAGATAGGAGATAGTGAATTTAAATGTCCTCGAATATAACAGACGGGACGCACGCGTAGAGAGGTGCACAGGCCGGACAAAGCCGGGGGATCGTCGCGACGGATCTATCCGCTCAAAATTTTCGTCACTTGGCAATCCTGGAGTGCCCTTTTTTATCATCCCACGTCGACAAGTCCTTTTGAAGCGCGCATTATAGCTCGACGCTAAGAAATCCGATAACGCCAGCGATTATTGTATTTTGAAAGATTCTCGTTATTCATTAATCGACGTAAATTATTAAGACATCGCAGTAAATCGATTGGATAAACATTTTGCTATTACTTCCCGACGTTCATTTTTTTTTCGGTTTACGAGAAATGCGTTACTTACTGCCTTTGGAAAAAATGGTAGATAAGATAAGACACTGTCAGTTTACGTTTTTATTCTCACTTTCCGTCAATACATATTGCTTATATCTACAAGATTATACTATACAAATATATATTATATTGATTTTCTGGGTATTACAGAAATTCAGTATTGTATATTAATATTTAATTCCTCGAAGTACAATCTTCAGATCTGACTCATAGTAAATTAATAAGATCATCGTCCATTATAATCTGCCGCGATTATACAGAAAACTTATCCATTTTTAATAATCTGGGCCGTCTCTGCCCAAAATCTTTTTACGTTGTGCCATCAATTCCTCCGCAGTAATTTGTACCTGACATCTGTTTGCATAACGGTTACATTTTATATTGGCGCAGCATTGCAAGTCATAGATGCACTGAAATTTCATAAACACTCTATTATTGGTCAAATCAATACAATTTAAACTGAAATAATGGAAGGATTAATAACTCGTAACATAACAAATAACATATCAAATCAGTTTTAAGAAAATATTTACGTATGAAGAAAAGATATAAACAATTTCCGTTAAATAATGACGTTGTGCAACCAGCGAGCAGGTTTCTTGTGAAAAAAACAAGTAAAACATATAGAATAAAAGCTTTTAGTAGTAAAAAATTTATTTGTCATTTTTTACTTGCTTTTTCACGACGAATTATCTGCTTGCCAAACACTACAGATTTACTAAACACTCTATATAACAATACGTAAATTAAAAATATCGAGACAATATAACAAAAAATTGGAAAAAGATAAACTTTGAAGTACACTGTAAAAATATATTTTACATTATTCTGAGTGGATTCAATATACTTTCGGTATATATGTTACCGCCAAAATTATGCGTGCATTTTGAAATATTAGGATAAAACCTCTCGGTTTATCAATTGTGCGCTTTTGGTATATTTTCTCGTGCAAATAGTCGTATGAATCGTTTAGCATTCCATTACGAGGATAGCAGAATCATAAGCTTAGAACTTTCCCCGTATTTTCCTCGTGATTGTAGCGGTATTGCATATTTTTAAGAAACGACATTGAAAGAAAAAGTGGCTTTATCAGAAAAATAAAAGATGCATGAATACGTATACTAACAGGGTCACCGTGTCGACCGCAGTTAGCAGGCTTATCGGTAGCACCCATGATAAGAGAGACGGTTAGCAACGCTACAAAGACGCACAGCAATATTTTCGCCATCTTCTCAGTCTCGTATTCTGCAATCAAATAATTTTAGCGGATTAGAAAGTTATAGAAAAAAAGACCGCTTCGCAAATTGGTAATATTAAAAATCGGTTTTAATTGTTCCATATTACTTTAATTATCTTGGAATATAGAACGTCTTATTTATTGTTCTAGATAATTTTCAATTTTAACTCTTAATTTATGCGTGGCGCGTCCAGACGTATTCATGAGGTTTACATAATGCGATAAGTCGACCGTGAGTTTTATACTGGCGCAGCAGGTTACAGGTATACGCGAATGAATCATCAAGGCCTGACTCAGTTAGTTCTTCAATGGACAAAATGACCTCTAAGATTGTGTCTTACAATTTATGTCATTACTCGGCTATGAATATGTTCCTGATATACTGCTGACTGCAAAAACTATACAATTATTTTAATTATATTTTGAACGAATATAACGCATGTCGAATGTGTTGAGATATCTAATAGCATAGCAACGGTACGGAATCGCTTATTACAATTAAATTTTATGATGTTTGCGTGTATTTGCTGTCTCGAAAACACCTTTGCATACACATCTTTTTGGTTCCCTAAACTTTCAGCTTTTTAATTTAATGTACAACATTAAAATATTTTTAATTGGAACGTAAAAATTTTACTTTCCCTTAATTACTTTGTGTGAACAGATAAAAATTGAAAATTAGAACACTTTAAATATTTTTAATGTGTGTGAATAAATGATGATATAATTGAGACTCTTGTGGATAAATTGGCATTGCAATAAGTTTCTAAAGATAATATTTATTGTCACTTCACCAAATCTCTTGTTGATCCACTGGCTATTTAGTAAACAGAAAACAGTTGTAAACGATTTTACGATAAATATTAATTTTATTAAATGCGCGACTAATTGTTTTATTTGTCCAACACTCTCAATTATATTATTTCATAAATTTTAAGAAGAGTACTTAATGTGACACATTTCAAAGTAGACCAGTTATAATTTGTACTGAAAAATCTCACTCACCAGACGCCTCGACAAAATTCCTCGCAGATCTAATCTTCTTGAGAGCTGAACCTCGACTGAATACTTAGTTCGTAACAGTCAAAGCATTTATACGACTCACACAAGTAAATGTGTAGATTTGTATATATCTGATGACGTATTACCAACCAACGGAGAAGTCGTTACATTTTTTCACACACGTGGCACAATGTATTGTTTATAATTACATTTTTACCTGTTTATGCAACTTTAATCATATGTATATATGCATATGTATGTCTCACATATTCGACATATCATCATTGTAACAGCAGTTTCTTTGTCTTTCTTATCGACGTTTCATTTACATTCAGCGGTATTTCTTACAAATTTATTTAATTTTTCAAATGAATTACCTGTTATGTTATAAAAAATGTTCCAAGTCCAAGTATGTTAGATTTTTAAGAATTCTTTGAAAGTATTATGTATAACGCAACATTTTTATCGCGGTATTTATTTAACTCTTCCAATATCTCTTCTAAGAAAACCGGGTCGGGTTAGATTATGCTCGGCAGTATTTACGTTTTACAAAATAAAAATACTTCGCATAAAAATAATATAAAGCCTTGCGTGGTAAAATTTCAAATTAATTCCGGGATTTCCGTTATGCGAAATCTTTTAAACATTAGCTAAGTCGGAAAATATCTTCTCGGAATGTAGAGTATGCGATTTCCGAAACGTACAATGTATACAGTGAAATAACAAGACACTCGCGAGTAAAACGGGAATCTCTTCGTTGCACTTAAAGTTAACTTGTGTATTGAGAAGAAGTGATGTTGTCAATGCTCACAAGTCGCTTATATTTCAACACCAGCGACTGCGACGTCGACTCGAATGCTCGTCAAGTTAATACACGTTTTACTGCGGAAGTAACTCGCACTCTGTAGCCATCCGCTACGTCAATCTTGAGCTCGCGTTCGCGGGACAAATTGTTTTGCGGATTTCGGTTATTATAGGTCGCCTTATACGCACGCGGGAATATGAGAATGCAAAAAGAGAGGCGCCTTCCGCTGATATTCTCTTTCCATTTCAGCAGTATCGAATGCACAAGTGCTTTTTGCCCTTTGCGCCGGCATTCTATCGAGTGCATATTGCGCGCCTCGTGCATTCCATTGATTCTCCGACAAAGCGCTCTTGTTCTTTAATTCGGTTGACAGGAAACAACAGGAAAGGAAACTGAATCATCCGGTAGCATTGTCCTTTTGTTCGCCCACAGTGGCTGAATAGAAATAGTCGGGGGGTTTTTTTTTCCTGTCATCGGCGCAGCTTCGACACATCATGAGCCAAATTAACCTTTTTTTAATATGTCAGTGGCAGCACGCTTGACGCTTTTAAGCGACATTCGCGATTCGCGGATTTACCGCCGTAAGTTCGACTCGAGTATCCGTTGCCGGTTCCACTTTTTCGGCGTGTTCACGTTTACGTGTAAAAGATGTTCAATAAGTATGACAGGTTTGCGTGCCCCTCGTTCGTTTGGTACAAGAATTTGAAAATCTCGAGTAACATTTTCGAACGAAAACTCATAATCTCGAAGAACTTTAGTGCCGTATTTACGATCACGCTTCCTTCAACTGATGCCGCGATGATAAAAAATTGACACCTAATCCTGCAGATGAAGGAGTGAAGTAACTAGAAAATATAAGCAGTTTTTATCCTATCCTTGCCAGTAATACAAAACGCGTTACCGATTTTGACTGTATACATATTGTTGAAAATTAATACGGAACAATATAAATACCCGAGAATTTGCATTTAATTGGTGAAAATATAAACGTATAAAGAGTACGTGCGTATGTCAGATCCAGTTTAACAAAGTGCAACATAATACCAATTATTTCTATATTATTAAATATCATGCTCATTTATATTGCATTTATATTGTCCATGAACACATGTTTTGTGTAACATTTATAGAGTTTTACACAGCCGTGTTACTTTTGTCGACAAAATGTAATAGTTGGCCAATTGTTTTGTAATTAAATGACGTTTGCGATCACGTGGATCGACTATTTAATAATATAAATGCAATTGGCGCTAAGAAGTGAAATACCAACACGTTAAATCGCTGCGCTTGATGCAACACTCGTTATGCCGCCTATACAAAAAATAAAACGGAAATTAATGCAATTTTTCGGTCAATTAACAAAATTATTTAATTATACGGCACGGGTCTAAGCATATCCGATTAATGTGTAAATTCGTGTACATGCATTTCGCACGAAAAGAAGAACTTTTATTTGTAGACTGTAATATTTTTTTGTCTAACTTTAATTGTACACTTATAAAGTGCATTAATGATACACATCGACCTTTTTACATATACATTATCTCGTTGTTTAATTGATGTATATTTAATTATGCATCTAAAACAACTAAACATAGCGTTCATGGTAGAAACTATAGCATGTAATAATAGATATTAAATTTCAAGCACATCCGATTATGCCCGCAGATATATTTACGATAATCCCTCCAAATAATAATGGGCGCGGTCGTCTAATTCGTTTTAACCATTATCGAAGAATTAATGATTGTGTAAGTACAGTTTCAGTATGCATGTGGTAATTCCATAAGCCTTTTTAATTCTTTTTTACTTGCTTTGGATACTACTCGAGTATGTTAAAGTGTTTTTCAAAAACGACTATTAAATGTATATTATAAAGACGGTTAGCCCTAAACCCAAAGACATTAAACGATACAATCTTGAATTAAATCTAAAGCAATTTTATATTAATATTTATGATATCATTTTATTTTGGATAAGCGTCTATGCATTTTGCAAAATTAATAATCATAATAAAAATTACGAGTATATTTTAAACTATACTTTTTAATATGCAATTATTTAAGAACGACTTATTTATTTATGCATATCGTTTAATCCAATTTTGAAAAAATTAAATACTTTTTAACTATTGTCTTATGAATACAATAAATGATATTTTATATGTACAAAATAAACGCAATCAACACAGAGATATTATATGCTCCATTGCTACGGGAGATTAAGTGATAATTATTGTGTTACAATTGTATAAATAAATAAATAATCTCACATATATATATAACAGCAATACAAATTTAAATGTATTGATATTAACAAATTCTTTAATGTAGTTGTTAAATATATTTTCTTATAAATATATATTACACATTCACACAAACGCGCGCGCGCACGCACACATAATTATTAATAAATAAGACGAAAAATATTAGCAGTTAGCAATTTGGATCTTTATTAGTTATACAGTTTAATTATACATAATAGGTATAGAAATTATTTTTGCGTTAATGTATATTAAAGAAAAATAGTACCATAATCGATAAGAAGTGATAAACGATATTAAGATAGTGGCACATTTGGTGGATACGGTCCAGGACCAAGAGGTCGTTTATCTTGTCCAGGTATAATTAGACCACCTTTCGGCACGCATTTGGCTTGATAAGGCGCACAAATCAAATAGCGACAGCAGTCATCAGACGTATGACACTAAAATATTTAAAATATAATACTTAGAAATATATTATTTGACATTAAAAATCATTATTATTGCGGATATATCGACACAGGTTTAAAACATTATTTTATTATAATAATAAGTTCTAATAAGTTTATGCGAATTACAGAGGACAAAATATTAATTAAAATTGAATGAACTTCTTAATTCTGACATATCTCGTTTTCTTCGTCCGTCTTTATAATGCGGAAAAAGAAATTTATTTTCATAAAATACATAAATACTTACCAATTCAAGCCAAGGGCTGCACATATCATCAGCAGCCATAGCCATGGCAATCATAATAAAAATTGTGAAAATAACAAACTTCATCTTGCCAATATTTTCTGAAATCATTATTTCTTGTATAATATATGTATACATTTTGATATGCACATGCAATATAATAATAATAATAATAATAATAATACTTTTATAAACATCGCGATAATAACTTCACGTGAATATATCTTTTAAAGAACATAAGAATATTTTATTAATAATATAACATAAACAATTTTATAAAAATAGTTTATTATTAATTTGGATTTAACTTTTATTTGAAAAAAATTAAAGAAATAAATTAGATAAGAACTTACTGTTTCTTTTGAAGAGCTGATTGGTTATGTGGATTGTACGATGTAATTGCAACTGATGGGACCTTTAATCTTCGAAGAGTATTTATACGTTGTATCGCACTTGTGCAAATCGAAAATATCGGAAACGTACTGTTTACATTACCTGTTATTTGAAAGGAAACATCTGTCTGGACAAATTGTTATGAAGTTATATGGTTACCTCTTTAACTCGAATTATTAATTACAACCATAAGATTGTAATTTATCAGTTACGTATGTTGCAAAACGGAATATTCTGTATTTTGTTGACGTTAGAATGTTTTACAATGTTCGATATATTCTGCAGAGTTAAATTACATAATATCAAGTTATAAAATGCAGTTATATAAACTGCTTTGTCATATTATTACAAATCTATTTTATTATTAAACAACTGCATTGAAATTGTATCAATTTAAAGATGTTTTGATAAATCTCTTATAAATATTTAGGACGAGCAAAATATAAAATTTGTAATTTTGAAAAATTCTTATTAAAAAAGTAAAAATATTCTTTTCAAAACTCAATAATTTCAAATAATAAATGTGTAATAATACCGTTTTTATAATATTTTTTCAAATTTAAGTGTCTTTCGATTCTAATGGAATATCGCCACTGGCTATTTAAGATAAGAAGATGAATTATTGCAAAATACTTTAAACAAATACATTGTATATTCAGTTGCAACAGTACGCTCTAGCGGAAACTAAAAAGGAAATTTATCTCGCAGCAAATTACACTCACCATATCATTATACATTAAATTTTGAGTAACGAGAACTAAAGACATTGTAATTTGATATTAGAAGTTTTAATTTTTTTAAATATCGGTTGATTATCGATTGATCATCAAAGCTATTTATTTTATAATTTACATCAGAATGTATATACTTGTTTGTAATATAAGATCTGAGCACATTCTCTTATTTTCATAAAATAAATATCACTATTAAATAAATTATTTTTGCTGTTACAAATCGATTTCCTTTTGGTTGACAGTGTAAATAAGAATTCGTAGTCATTAAGACAATATATTGCTGCGTAACTAAACACTTTATTTCTATAACTATACACTTTTCTGATTTATTAATTTTTCACATGTTTTGAAATTAAATAAGATTAAATCATAATTCTTTGCAACAAAGTCCACATTGAGCTATCATTTATGATTGTTAGATTTCTTTGATATCTATTCTACTTCTACACCTCCGGGTCTGTACGTGCTTATGGTTTTCATCAGATGCCTGATTACTCGTAACGATGAGTTTATAAATTACACACATATTGCAACAAATTTCATTACTTGTGC